TGGGATAAAATTGAAGCAATGGTCGATGAAGTTGGTCGAGCAACCTTTGCCAAAAACTGATGAAGTAGGATGAGCCGAGGTGAGCAACAAGTAAGTTGGGCGGTGTTTATGGATGGAGATACTCAAATCATCTCTCAATTCTGAATTCTCATATTTGCATCTTCATGTCGCGGGACGTTTGATCAAGTTCATTCATAGGTATGACACAGCTTCAATACAACACAAAGGACTGCCATAATAATATGAGTTTCAATTTGGTTTCCGAACAGCCCAGCCTGCTTGAGCTCTTGAACGCGTGTCAGCTTGCCATCCGAGGCAAAGACTTTGGATGGGCGCTCCACCTTGACCATGTCGCCTCTTGGCAGCATGGAGGCGCCCTGCACGACGCTTGTACGCCAAGCCTTCGACTTGTGGAACACATTGTGCTTGTCGGACGCAGTGATCAGCAAGCACTGATGGCAGCCACTGCGGTTGCCATACACTGTGGCCTCGTCGAACACCAGGGTGCAAGTTTTCACCTGCGCAATGAATGTTCATGAATTTTCTATTGGAGTGTATCAATCATGTTCCAAATTGAGCAGGTTACACTCATGTCCCACAAAGAGTGGATTAATAACCATGCACCATCCTGACTGGACCACACACACTACCATGCCCCACACTGAGTGGATGATGACCATCATGATAACCATCTCCCAAACTGAGCGGAATACAACTGTTCCATACGCTCCAAAGTGAATGGGTTATAGCCATCTCCCAAACTTGGTGGACTACAGTGTCCCAACAGAATGGATTATCACCATGCACCACACTGAGTGGATTGTAACCAAATCCCATGCTCCATTGGAGGTCGGTTATGGTTATCCCCCAAAGTCAGTGGGTTATATCAGTGTCCCAAACGGAGTGGATACAACCCAGTCCCAAACTGAGGGGATTGTTATTGTAAAAACTCACTCCATGTTCCACGCTGAGTGGATTGAAATTACTATGTTCTGTGCTGAGTGGGTAGGCAGCAAAAACCAGCTTACTAAAGCAAGGTTTGACAGGAAGCAGCTGAAACAAGACAAAGTCACACGAAGAGCACGCTCAGACTCCAAGAAATAGTTCTTGACCTTGTAGACAAACTCATGCAGAACAGCTTCAGCTGAGTCTGCTTTGTCATGGTTGTCTTCCTCGTCTTCGTCCATGGCGACGGCATCGATAGCTCCTCCGGGAGCAAAACAACAAACATCAGTACGGGAACAAAAACCTGAAATGAGCTTGGTATTTGGGGTACAGCCCTATTCAACACTTGAAAGGTTTTTTGAAGCTGGTATCCTGGGTCTTTCTCATCAGCATCATCATCGTTGTCCTCCTCCTTCTTTTCCATCCTGGCGCAGGTAGCATGACATATCATTACAGTGAGCCCTTTTAGTCACCACACAGAACTACAAAACATGGCACCATTTGCTTTCCTATTAAAACATGATGAAATAAAGGCAAGGCACTTGGTTGGCGTTCTCAGGTCGCCGGATCGATTTGGAAGCATCACGACGGCGCAGAAGGTTCTTGGGTTGGCATGGGCCATGGAAGTGATGGTGTTGACTGTGAACTCAGCCTTCCCTGCCGATAGCACACCAGAAGTAACATAGTTGCACCATCCGATGAGCCGTTCACTTTCAGTCCGCCGCAAACCAACCCCAAAGCCTTGCATTGTGTCTTGAATCCAGGGCAAGACTTTGGCAGCGACAGCGCCGGTAGTCTTCTCTTTGTCACAGTCTCCTGCAGGGCTTGGACCAAACAACATCACACGCCCAAGGTTGTTTTCCATGATGGTGATACCTTTGAAAGACCCACTGGGTTTTTTTGATGGCTGGATTGGACAGCTTTGTGTGACAAAGTCTTTGTATAGTTCCAATTTCTACAAGTAAGTTTTACATGCAACTTGCCAACCCAACCAATCACTGCAGGGTCACATGGCCACACTGTGCACCTAGATCAATAAATGGTACTCGGTGCCATGTTTCAAACATTATGTTGAAACTTATGGAACCAATAATTGGGAGAATCATCATGGATATGTTTTTTAAGTTCCCATCCAGAGACTGAGAAAACCATGGGCCTTGGTTCTTCTGCGGTGAAGCATTCCAGGTCGGCAGGCTGTCGGTAGCAAAAGTCTGCACCAAGCCCCATGCTGTTGAATGCATTTTCTGTCAGGGATCAAAACATAAAGAAGCCCCAGGCTAAGACTAAGACAAACAAACTGAGACAACATGTTTTAACATCCTTTAACGTTGTGAGAAACAAAGCAGAGCAGAACGTTGTGGCCTCCAAAGAAGTCAGAGCAGAACTGCGAGCCCGAGCTTCGTCAGTCTTGGCAGCAGCCAAATGTCGTTCACGCAGCACCTGGTCATTGTCCAGCGACGTCTTGAACGACAGGAAACCAGCCTGAAGGCTACTCTTCCTTGCGTTCTGAACAGCATTCTGAGCTTCCAAGATGTGAGTCTCCTGAACTGCCCCTGTAGCCTCTGCAAAGAAAGCCAGCTTGTTCAGCTCAAAACTGGGGTCGTTCCCCTTGATGTGTGCACGCAGCTCAGAATCCAAAGCCCTCAGGGGACACGTTGCATTAGTGCACATGAGTACAATAGGGCATGAGGACATGAGCGTGTAACACAAGTATGTGAGGACACGCTGGGTCATGAGTGTGAAACAACCCCCGTGGCGCAGGCTGATTTGATATGACGATATATGATGGGAGATGATGCACAGCTGCACTTGGAGCGGTTCCATAATGGGTGATCCCTGGAACATTTTATCTGGGTGCATGATGGATAAACCAATGGTGGATGCACATTGTAATGTGGAAATATCGGTGATGATGAGCTATTACTGAGCAGGTGCAGCCATTATTAACACTTAAAAGCTGTTTGAGTTGTGTCGATAATTGATGCATGGTATAAGGTGGGATAAGATAGGGCCCTTTCCTTGGACAAAGCTTTTTGTTCACTATGCGCTGGCTATTTCTCAACACTTGGGACTGCCAGACTTGGTGGCTGCCAATCAGTAAGTGACTTGGGTTCCAGGCGGTTTGATCTTGTTCTGAACTGAATGACTTGTACCGGAACGAATCATACACCCCTGAAATCTTAGAATTTACTATATTTTTAGGGTTTCAACATTATCAAGAAAGAGTACATGGTTCCAACTTTTGATCAAACATTGTTGGGTCTCCAAACATGATCTATGTCTTCCCCAGCCTGAGTGTTTTTAGCAGAATCAAAGTAATACTTGATGTCCAGAAGCCCTCAAGTAAAGCTTCAAACATTGCCAAAGATAGAGCATCGGTGGCTCCCCAATGTTACTTATTTTTGTGGGTTGGTTTCCCAAAGAACTTTGGGATTGTGTAGGTATCCCCAATTTTGGATAATGTTGGGTGTATCTAGAATCTAGCCAGCATCCCTGAATCATGCGGTTTTGGGGTCAGTATCCCTGAGTGATGCGGTTTTTTTTAGCCAGTCTCCCCGGATCACGCGGTTTTTTTTAGCCAGTCTCCCCGGATCATGCGGTTTTCTTTAGCCAGTATCCCTGAATCATGCGGTTTTTTATGGACAGTCTCCCTGGATCACGCGGTTTCTTTGCCAGTTTCCCTGGATCATGCGGTTTTTTTTAGCCAGTCTCCCTGGATCACGCGGTTTTTTTTAGC